TTCGAGAAGCTGCTGGTGCCGGGAGGCGGCTTTGCAGACAGTGGTGCTGAGGATGTCAAGTTGCCTGATGCCGACCCGGCTGCATTCCAGTGGCTGCTGGCCTACATGTACACGGGGGAGCTGTACATGCCAGACGAGCTGCTGCGGCCTGCTGTACTGCTCGCGGATCGGCTTTTGATGCCACAAGATTGCGTGGGGCAGCTGCAGAAGTGGCTGCTGGCGACGGTGACCCCCGGATCAGTGCTTTCGGATCTTCTCTGGGCGGAGCAGCACGGCATGACGTCATTGGTGCCACAGCTCAAGCTGCGGCTGCTGCGGCAGAGGAAGAGCGTGGTGTTGGGGGAAGAAGATCTGCGACAGCTCATAGTCCGCCGTCCATGCCTAGCGGCTGACCTGATCCGGGAGCTGGTTGTGATGCCCTGACATGCTGTGGCATGATGGACAGCGAGGTAGGATTAGCCGGCACAGCATCCTCATACCATAAGATCTCACAGGCGCATGTACAGCATGCTATGCGGACTTCTGCTTGGTGTGTGTGTGTGTGGCTGGGAAGGTGAACACTGGGGGAGGCAAACGGCTCAAAACGACCGCGAATTCCTGTGTGCTAAGCTCTGTTGTTACTTAATTAAGCCACATTGAAGGTAAGGGTTAGCATTAGCAAGCAAGCACTGGTGCGGGTATCAGGGATATGGTCCATGTCGCTCGTGGTTGTTGCGAGCCAATCATGTAACGTTACGACACCAACTGGGATTGACCAACAGCAGGCGCGGTGTGAACTCCGATGCTGTGATGAGCTAAGGGCCTCGCTCGCTTCCCATTCCACATGGTCAATAACCGTAATAGGATTGCGCCATCTGGACATACTCGCCAGCTAGCTGTAGTGACTGTGTGATCTGAATCAATCATCACGGGAGCAGCTCCGCAAGGGCAATACATACACGGGGCTGGGATTTGCAGACCCCTCCCGTGTGGGTAATAAATGTAAGTATATTGCAAACATGCGACATCACCCTGGGACAGGCTGCTGGGGGATGTATTGTGAATGTGTATGGGGCAATACGGGCTCCGATAGGTGCAGCGACTAGAGGTTGCACATCAGGTGCTGATGCATATTCAGCTTAGGTTACGTGACAGCAGGTTGCATAGGTGCACAGTGTTGGAAACCATTTTTCCTGCAGACGGAAGAAATGGCCAATGCCTGACACCCTATGAAAGAAAATCTGCGTTATCTTCATCAAAAAGGTCTACTGCTTCCCCGCCAATCTGGAGCGTACCAGGGAAATTCCAAGAGGTTCAACATTACAGGGGGGCGGCTTTTCAAAGCGAAAAGGGGCTCGGCCCCGGTGCAGCCATTTGACCCCCGTTTGATTCGCAGGGCAGTCCGTACGGCATAGGAGTGCAAGCACAAGAACGCCGCCACGCTTGGAGTACACACTTGTTATTGAAATCCTCAAAC